ACATTGCTCGGTGCTTACCCCAATAAGTGTAGTCACCATCTGTCACCATACAATGTTATTATAATATTATTGATTATTGATTACATTCCTTATGCTGTACTTTTCTTCTCCATCACTTAATAATTTTTTAAAGTTTTTACTTAAATTCCAGTCAACATGCATTGTAATATTAGTTTCAGGTGTACAATATAGTGATTCAACACTCAACATACAACACCCTGTGCTCATCACAACAAGTGCCCTCCTTAACCCCCATCACCTATCTCCCCACCCACCAGTCATGTATTATTTGTTAAATAAGTTCCAGATGTCTGCTTTCTGTATTTTCTCTTTCTGGAACTCCTGTGATTGAGTTGTTGTAGATTCTGGACTGATTCTCTCGTTTTGTTAATCCATTCTGTTCTGTTTTCCGTCTCTTTTTCTTTTTGTTCCACTCTCTGGGAGATCTCTTCATTTTAAATAACATTTTAATCCATTTTTTTCTGCTAACATATTTTTTCACGTCTAAAAGGTCATTCTTCAAAACGTGCCTTTTTATAGAATACTGTTCTTGTCTCATTGAGGCCATATCTACTCCTTTCCCTCTACGGGGATTATTTTTAAAGGTTTCTTCTGTTCCTCGTATTATCTCTGCTCCACCCAAGTTCCCTTTTATTGTTCATTTGTTTTGGTCTCTGTTTTTTGTGTTCGAAACCATCCTATAATGTCTGATAATCCTTGGCTGTCCATTCATATTTAAGGGTGAAATACTTGGCTGGCACTGGATTCTCTGTGTGGGTAGCTAAAACTTGTGCAGTGACAGGTTCGGAAATAGAGTTATCAACACGGTGACCTATTTGTGCTATTGGGCGCCTCCCAGATATTAGCTCGCAGAAGTATTTTCCTTGGGGACAGCCGACCTCAGATCAGAATCCTCTGGCCTCCTGCTCAGGGTTGCTGACATTCTGGCAAACAAGCAGAGAAGGGAATCTCATTGTTTGACACGTGGACTTCCACCTAATCCCTCTGCTCTCAGTCGTGGTTTTCACCTCCTCCGTCAAGTGTGCTGGCGGACCCCAAGTCCAGGCTGTCTGGCTCACGCTCAGGTCATCTGCCAGGATGAGCCAGAGGAGTTGCCCGGATGCACAGGGTGGGCAAAGGGATCCAGAGTTCTGAGGTCTCCCCGCGTAGGCTTTCCATCAGCCCTTCCTTCGTCCTCATCCTCAGGGGCTCCTGGTTACCCCAGTTTCTGGAACCTCCCTGGGTTGTGTGATGAGAATCTGCCCGCTCTGTGTTGGCTTCTATCCTTGCAGACTCATTGCCATGGTCCATCTCCATTCTATCTTCCAAAGTGTGGACAGCTCTCATCCGCTGTCACGTCGTCCTCTCTCTTTTTTGTCCTTGCTCGCGTAATACCATTTATCCCTTTGCTGTCACGTTGGTGGGATTTGAGGTGGGAGAGGAGATAAATGCATGTGTGTAGTGCTTCAGATTTAACTGGCAGTCGGGACTATACTTTCTTCAATTCAGCCTTTGTCCGTTGAGCACCTACCGTGAGCCCTGCTCTTCTCAGTCACGGACAGTTGTGATCTTGGCCTGACTCTTCCCTTGTCAATGAGGGACTTTAAGCTCAGGAATAGGACTCTTCCCTCCTCTCTGCGTCTGGAGCAAAGCACACAGACACCTCAAATGCAGAATTCAACACCCTGTAGTTCAGTTCCGTTTTTACTTGTCGGTGTACTCAGCCAGCCTGTGGGCTCCTCGGTAGCAGAACTGTGTGTTTGTATCTATACCCCCCCCACCCCCAACACCTAGCATGGTGTTCTATTGCCTAGCACATAGAACATAGCCAATAACTTTTTATTAAAGGAATAAATGAGGGGCACCTGGGTGGCTCGGTTGAGCGTCCAACTCTAGATTTCAGCTCAGGTCAGGATCTCACCGTTCATGAGATCGAGTCCCTCATCGGGCTCCACGCTGTCAGCGTGGAGCCTGCTTGGGATTCTCTCTCTCTTCCTCTCTCTGTCCCTCCCCAGCTCATGTTCTTTCTTTCAAAGTAAATAAATAACCTTTAAAAAATAAATAAAGGACTAAATGAAAGAATGAGTGGAACCCAAGCCTCTGTAGAACATACAACAAAATGAATTTTGAACGAGCAGGTGGCTCCGCGTGCAGGTGCTGACAGCTATCATAGGGCGTGATGTTGTCCTGGCTAGAAGAGGCCTTACAGGCCATTTTATAGGAAGTCTCGCTTTATAGGAGGAAACTGAGAGCTGGGGTAGTTAAGAAACCACCCCCCCCCCCCCACCATGTCACACGGGGAGTCGGGGCAAAGTCTGGAATTTAACACAAGTCTGATGACTCGCAGCCGGGTGTTCATTCTACGTTGCTAGTTAGACTCTTAAGTGACTTTAGTTAGCCAACAGCTCGTAAGGTAGGGGAAGAAGAAAACTGGGCATTTAACAACCAAGTATATCAGTAAAGGACCGTTTTCTAGGGTAAAATGCTTCTTCCCCAAGAGGTAGTTCTCTGAAATAGGGAGATTAGTTTTGTTGATGTTCTAAGGAAGCAAAAGCATTGGGACAAAATTTTTCTTTGTGCCAACTTCCACCCAGCTGCTGTGACCATGAAGAGACGGGCTGGATGGGGTCTTAAGGGAATTCGAGATTCAGAGAGAATGAGGAAGCAGAGAGCTAGCAAGAACCCAGAGTATGTGTGTCAACATGAAGGTTCAGAAATCAAATGAGCTGACCAGTGAGCGGTGCACCCAGAACAGAGATTAGGCACGAAGCATGGGCGGGGGGGACTCCTTCCAAGGTGCCCTTCCTTGGATTGGGGAACCCACAGGAAGGGATTTGAGCCAGGGGGAGGCAGCCAGAAGGGGCAGAAACAGAGACAGCCTGCTCAAAGAACATATTAAGCAACAATAGCCCGTGTCCATAGATTTCACACCGTGTCAGTGGCCACAGTTAAGTTTATGGAGTATAGGCGGAGGAACATTCCAAAAGAAGAAGAACAGGAAGGCAAGGAACCCAAGGGGCTCAGTCTTTGCAAAGGGTCTTTGCCTCACAGACGTTGGTCCTAGGAAGTTACTCGAACTGGAAGGTGATGGGAGTGGAGGAGGCTGGATGGGAAGGACTTACATCTGTATATTTGTTGATTCAAGGCTGTGGCGCTCTATGTACCATTTGGAGCGTCAGAGAGTCAGTGGTGAGCAAAATAGATGTAATTCCTGCCTTCTTAGAATTGAGAATCCAGTGGACTGTTTGGAGAAACCCTGGGGTTCCCAAGGAGCTTCTTGAAAGGAGGTGACTATGGTGGGCTTTGAGGTAATTATGGTAGGCGAAAGAAATGTGCGAGGTATCTGGTCATGGATGAAAGAAACCTGGGCGTCAGTAATGCAACAGAAAGCTACTTGAGGAAATCTCCCCGAGGGACAGCTTCTGGGCCCCAGAGGTGGGCAGACCTTCTAGAATCTACGCCCAGGACGTGACCCTGCGGTGCAGATTCACCCCACACCTGCCTGCCCACCCTCCCCTTCCAGATCACAGCCAGTGGGATGGATCCGAACCGGTTCTGTGGGCAGCAGGGCTCCCCGCTGGGCAACCACCCTGGTCAGAGGGAGTTTGTGTCCCCAGGGAATCGATTGCGGCTGACTTTCCGAGCACCCGCCTCCTCTCAGGACAGGACTACTGGCCTCCACAGGGGCTTCCTGGCCCTCTACCAAGCTGTGGGTGAGTGTCTGTCCCGGGGGTGCAGCCTCTGCCCACAGCCATGGCCCCTAGTATCCTGAAGTGACATGTGGAAGCTTGAGTGACTACTGAGGCAGGGACCAGTGATCCCTCCCGGCCCCACCTGTGCCCCAATTCAAAGAGCAGCCGCTGCTCGGTTCCAGCACTCCTTTCCATGCAGACTTCTAGGCCAAATGCATACAGATCATCTCATCCTTCAAACGAAGCCAAAAATTCCAGATTTTTAAAAAATGTTTATTTATTATGGAGAGACAGAGAGAGACAGAGCACGAGCAGGGGAGGGGCAGAGAGAGGAGGAGACACAGAATCTGAAGCAGGCTCCAGGCTCCAAGCTGTCAGCACAGAGCCTGACGTGGGGCTCAAACTCACAAATTGTGAGGTCGTGACCTGAGCCAAAGTCGGACGCTTAACCGACTGAGTCACCCAGCCACCCCCAAAATTCCAGATTTTTAAGTGAAATTCTGGATTTTCAAATGGTAACTCGGATTTTTTTGGAAAGATACTGCTAGCACATGGTAATTTTTTTAAATAACATAATATGGTGAATAAAAATAATGTAATACGGTAATAATATAAGAAGTAAGTCTTCCTCTGATCTCTGGCCCTTAGTCCCTGGCTACCCTGTCCAGAAACAACCCTGTTGTCCACTTCCTGGTATCTTTCCAAAGACATCTATGCCATTCAATTATACATATTCTTACAGGGAAGGAAAGGATTGCCTGATGAAACGTCTTTTTTTTTTTTTTATTTAAAAAAAAATTTTTTTTCAACGTTTTTTATTTATTTTTGGGACAGAGAGAGACAGAGCATGAACGGGGGAGGGGCAGAGAGAGAGGGAGACACAGAATCGGAAACAGGCTCCAGGCCCTGAGCCATCAGCCCAGAGCCCGACGCGGGGCTCGAACTCACGGACCGCGAGATTGTGACCTGGCCGAAGTCGGACACTTAACCGACTGCGCCACCCTGGCGCCCCTGATGAAACGTCTTAAATGTAGTATTTTTCACACAATAATATGTCTTAAAGATCATCCCATGTACATGTGGTTAGCATTGCCTAATTCTTTTGAATGACCACACAATATTCCTTTGATTGATGCATGCAATGGATTTAACCAGCCCTCCACTGATACTTTGCTGCCACAAACATTGCTGCTAAGGGTATCCTTCCTTGTTTATACACCTTGAGCACGTGTATGAAGGTGAATTCTTAGAAGTGTACATGTTAGGTGAAAAAAAACGCTTGCAATTTAAATCTTGGTATTGCTAAATTTCCCTCCCAAGAAGTCTTGCTCATATATACTGACCAGCCATGTCTGAAACTACCGGTTTCCCTATACCCTATTTATCATGGTTATTTTCAAAATTTATCATTGTTTATGTTCATTTCTTTTTGAGAGAGACACATAGACCACGATCAGGGGAGCGGGAGGGGCAGACAGGAGGAGACACAGAATCCGAAGCAGGCTCCAGGCTCTGAGCTGTCAGCACAGAGTCCGACGCGGGGCTCGAACTCACGAACCACAAGATCATGACCTGAGCCGAAGTCGGACGCTCAACCGACGGAGCCACCCAGGCGCCCCATTTCGGTTGTTCTAAACAAAAGATTGTGCAAGTCAGACTAAAATATGGCCGTGGGCCAGAATCGGTCCCGGGGTTGCCAGCTCTAGGTCCTTATGACCACTGTTTTCCTACAGGGGTGAACCACAGTCGGCCCAGTGGGGGCTCTGAGGCCATCAGCATAGCTGAAGACAACTCCTCCAAGATCCAGAACCACTGCCAGGAGCCCTACTATCAGGCAGTGCCGGCAGGTAAGCCCCCACCTGCTGGGGAACTGGCTCCTACTTGCCTCACTCCCACCAAGAGGCCTGAGGCCTTCTGGGCGCCCGCCACCCCCACCTCCCAAGTCTGAGCCTGTTTCTTTGCCTCCTGTCTTTTCACTCCTCAGGGGCACTCCCCTGCACAACCCAGGGCCTCTGGAAGGAGACACAGGATAGGGAGGAGCTTCCTCGCTGTGAACCTGGTGAGTAGTGACCTGCCAGCGCCCCTCTGGTGGCCACTTCCCAAAGAAGTCTAAGCTGCACATGGGGCCTGTGGGAGCAGGACACGGAGGTTTAAGCCCTGGGGTAGAAAGGGAGAGATAAAGGCAGAAGTACAGGGGGAAAGGGGAACCAGGAGGGCCCAGAGAAGGAGAGGCAAGGATCTTGTCTCTTTTTCTTCAGGATCAAGAGATAACTGAGAAAGGAGGGGTGGCTGTGTGGCTCAGTCAGCTGGGCGTTCCACTTCGGCTCAGGTCCCGATCTCATGGCTCGCGGGTTCGAGCCCCGTGTCAGGCTCTGTGCTGACAGCGCAGAGCCTGGAGCCTGCTTCGGATTCTGTGTCTCCCTCTCTGACTGCCCCTCCCCGGCTCATGCTCTGACTCTCTCTCTCTCTCTCAAAAATAAAGAAAACATTAAACAAAATTAACGACAACAACAAAAGAGATAACTGAGAAAGGAAAAGCAGGAAGGAAGTTCATCAAATGGGACAGTACAGGAGAAGAGAGGTCCGCAGAGTGGAAATAAGGGAAACCCGTCTCTTGGGATGGTCTGCTTGAAGCATACATAGACAGGCTCTCTGTCCCCAAAATATCTCCCTACCTAGATGTCACAGTGCCAGAAAGTCCACCATTTTTTTAAAAAGATTCTTTATTAAGATACAACTTATGTAACATAAGATTCACCACCTTCATCGTTTAAAAATTTCCAATGCAATAATTTTTAATACGCTTGCAAGCTCGTGCCACCATTCCCACTAGTTCCAGAACATTTCCATCACCCCAAAAGGAAACCCCGTACCTCCATCTACCCTTCCCCGTCCCGTGGCAACCACTAATCTACTCTCTGTCTCCATGGATTTGCCTGTTCTGAACGTTTTCTATAATGGGAATCCTACAGTATGTGGCCTTTTGTGTCTGGCTTCTTTTACTTAGCGTCACGTTTTCAAGGGTCAGCCATGTGGGAACAGGTATCGGGATTCCATTCCTTTTGGTGGCTGAATGGGAGTCCGTTGTCGTGGGGATGCCCTGCCTTTTGCTCACCCATGCATCACGTGAAAGACATTTGGGCTGTTTCCACATTTTGCCCTTTATGGATCGTGCTGCTATGAGCCTTCGTGGGCACGTTTCTGTGTGAACATATGCTTTCTGTTCCCTTGGGTCTGTCCCTGTGAGTGGAATTGCTAGGTCCCATCATACTTGTATGTTTAACTTTCTGAGGACTTGCCAGACCGTGTTCTGCTGTGGCTGCCTCATTTTACACGCCCACCAGCAAATACAAGGGTTCAAGTTCACCGTTTTTGAAACCCACTTTTTTGGGGCGCCTGGGTGGCGCAGTCGGTTAAGCGTCCGACTTCAGATCAGGTCACGATCTTGCGGTCCGTGAGTTCGAGCCCCGCGTCAGGCTCTGGGCTGATGGCTCGGAGCCTGGAGCCTGTTTCCGATGCTGTGTCTCCCTCTCTGTCTGCCCCTCCCCCGTTCATGCTCTGTCTCTCTCTGTCCCAAAAATAAATAAAAAAAACGTTG